TAGCTACGCCCTAAAAGAAATTATAACTCAAAAAGGTGTACAGAATTTGTAGTTTTCTTCGATTCAGATTTACATTACCTTTCTTCAAATATTTTCTATATTAACCGTTAATATTCCAGAAAAAAATTATAAATAACTATAATAAGGGCGAAATATATTGTAAAAAATGTAGTGAAACATTACATCCAAAGCTCCACCTTTCAAAAGGTATCTCCTCTTCGAATTCTTCATCTTCGATCTCATTTCCTCCATTGTAATCATCTACATCCCCAGTGGGCATTGGTTGTACGATATTCAGACATGTTCCCAAGATCAAGCCAAGAAGTAGAGCGAAAATTTTGAAGAAAACATTTTCCCCTTTTTTGGCACTTCTAAAAACAGAATCAGGTTAGAAATAAATTTTATATTTGGAGTTTCTAAAGTTTCTTTAATGCATAGTACTTTTATTTAATCATAAATAACGCTATTACATTCGAAATAATTTCATACTGAAATATTTTATTAAAGTTAAAAGTTCTTAAAAAAGAGTGAAAGATTTGACGGGGTTTTTAGTGGTTTTATCAAATCAATGCTGAATTTCATCACACAAAACTGCATTATACTCTGGTTCTCCTTATTATTAGGACAGTAAATAATTTTTTTTAAAGAAACTCTTGGAAATTAGTGAAATAAATATAATTTTTAAAAATTGAAGTTACATGTGTAGAATACTAATAAACTTTTATATTATTCACTTTAATAAAATACTGGAAAGGAATGAATTTTTCTTGTCACATTATAAGGACAGTTAAGTTTCTTAACATTTTTACAGTTATTCTTTTTGCTATTATTATTTGCATCCCTTCCTTAGGGAGTCAAAAAACATTCTATCTGGCATATATTGAAAAAAAATTTTGAAATATTCAAGATTAATGCCAACCATTTTATGTTGTGCAAATTATCCTCGAGATTTATTCAAACGTGATACATATTGCTCCTATTTGTAATACTTTCCTCACAAGATAAGCCCAAACATTTTCTGTAATGTTTAGATATAGCAATTTTAGGTGACCATTATAAACTGTAGTTTTTCTCTTCGAATTACTTTCTATGCTCTAGAAATGTGTCAAGAAAAATGTATTTTGTTGAAATATAAAATTATAACCATCTAAATGTAAATATTATCCTAGGAGAAATACTCATAAAGGGTTCGCAGATATTTCTCAGTGTTTGTATTATTTATCGATGAATGCTGGTTTTTATAAATTCATTTTCACATATTATGTGAAATTACAATTATTTATTACTAATATTTATCTCTTATATTTGTTTTTTCAGTGTTTAAGTTGTGCGTATCAAATACATAGCTTTGCTTAAAACCCGTACTTGGCATTTGATAGCAATGTTTGCGAAATAGTTTTTTCCGATTGAAAAATCTGTTTTTTTTAGTCAGTCCAACTGATATCAAATTTCAAGGTCGAAAATGAAATTCGGAAAATAGGATTGAGCCAATGACTGACATTGACTTTTTTGGTGCACCTTGAAAAGGAGGACATGTAACACATTTCATAATATGTCTTTTGTGCTGCCATCTATCGGCCATATTTCTTACTGATGTTTATTCATGTAGAATAAATTTTTCTAATTTTTTCTTAACCACCAACAAATTTTAAGGTTTTTTTCTGACACATCTTGAAATAAGGAAATTAATTCATAATTATTTTCTTTGAAATCTTGATTTGAATTATTAGAATTAATAACAAGCTTCCCCCCCCCCCGAAAAAAAAAATCAAAGCAAGAAATAATAAAGGTGTAGTTTTTTAAATGAATATAAAAACAATGTTAAATGATAATTCACCAAATGCTTAATAATCCTTGTCACTTGTTACACAAATATTCTCAAGAAAAAGTGCAATCGAATTACTAGACTCTTCTTGTAATTCCAGCGATATCTAAGGAAAATATATTTGATTTCGTAGGATTCTCTGCATTAACTTTGCTTAAATATAATTTATTCATTGCAATGCATCTGCCATCAAGTAACCATAAAGTTGCTTTGAATCAAGTTTAAAAAAATTAGATCTGTTTTTGCCCACATTCCATTTGAATAAATTTGTATTCATACATGTGTATATATGATAGACTAATTAAAAGTGTAAAGGAATACGAACTTTAACTTATTTTGGATTTCAAATAGCTTACATAGTTATTGAGGAGTTTTGTACCCCAATGGAACAAGTAAAAGAAAGCAAATACTATAATATAATTTGAAATCTATAATTATTGATCAAAATGTTAAGTAAATTTATTTTGTCCGCTTATTTCTATATTTTACTTTATTTATGAAAAGGATAAAAGAGTTAAATATTTTAACTACTATTTGAAGACTGACTATCTGATTTCTTTTGTTGTAACTCGGAAAAATCATATATAGTTACAAACAGATATGTTAATCCAAGATGATACCAAAGTTTGCTGTATGATCTATTTATTTCAATTTATTTAATTATTAGAATATTTCATTTCGATATTTGTAATGTTTTTTTTAAAAACATTTTCTAAATAAATTATAAATTTCTAATAGTTATATTAAATATTTAGTTTGTTTCCTGAATTATTTTCAATTTCATAGCCTGATAGGTGCTATTGTAGTCTTATTTGGACGATATCCACGCTGAATCATGTATTAGAGTTCTTATTTTATTTAAAACATATCGAAACTGAATAAATAATGTCTTAGTGTTCCACATAGAACTAGATTTCAAAATCCTTTCTCAGGGTGTAATGTGGAGATAGAAAAATTGAACAGCAATTCTAAGCACATTTCATTACCGTGTGAAAACAATATTTCTGCATATCCTAAGACAAGGTTATTTTTTGTTTATTTAGCCTAGGGATAAAAAAAACGCATTAAACCGAAAAAAACCTCATTTTTTCTAATCTGTTCAGAGTTAACTTCAAACATAGTGTAAACTTCAGTGCATTGGCTTATGAAAATTCAAAAATCGATTTTACGCGTCTATTCGGATTTCGAAATGATTTTGAAATCCGGTTATGTAAAAAATATAAACATCGGTAGATCTGTGCAGTTAATAGCCAATACCAGAGTATGTAAAAAAGTAAACTAGGAAAAAATTAAGTTTGGTTGAAAAGTAAACATTTATTTATTAAGTGGAAGATAAAAAACCATATACGCGGGCGTTAAATACGGTAAGTTAACAATATGTATTAAAGATCATTCTCTGGATACAACACAAGGCAGACTGCTTATATAAGATGCTTCTAAATATATTATTGAAATTAAAGAATGATGACGTAATACGAAAAAGGATTTGAGCTCACGAAACATATTTTTGAATATATATATATTCATGTTTATAGAAAGCTATACATATACAACACAGCTGAATAAATAAAACTATTTTTCGAATCAGATTTATCTACTGAACAGCAAAAACTGAAAATGAGAAATAATTATGCTTTTTTATTCTGATATAGTTTACTGAAGATTTAGTTGTTTGTTCCGGTATGTAACATGTATAAAGTATGGAATGCATTGCTGTCGTGAATTTCTGTTTAGAGTTGCCAATGCGCAGAATTTAAAATCCGGTTTTCATCACATATTAAACCGGATTTCTGGTTTTGAAATTTGGTTCAATTTTTCGGTTAACTGATTTTTTTTCGAAACTTTTTTGTAATTAATATTTATATATGTAATATAGAGTCTTCTTTTTTGTAAAATTTGCTTAATCTCAGAGAAAATTTAAAATTCTTTGATTCTCAACTTTATCCGGAATCAATATCTCCTTTCAAACCGGGAATTTAACTTGAAATCTAGATGCAGAAAAATAATATGTGTTAAGAAGATACCTGTAGACCTGGTATCATAAAGAATAATGTTCTTATTATTTGCATCATTAAATAATATATCCGACTACTTTAAGAACTTGAATTTTGGAGATATCGATTTTTTTAATTTGTGTACAAAAATATTTAAAATATTGGGTTTCTAAAACTGATTTTCTATTGAAGCTACGAAATGTAGAAATGGAATTATAATCATTTTAATGGGAGACGTTTTCGGAAAAAAAATATTCATTGTCCATTTTTTTTTAAAAAAATTCTTTGTGTACTTTTTGAAAATTTTTGCTGATTTGATACCTTTATTTTTGTTTCCTATATAATTTTTATCTTTAAAAAAAAAAAAAACTGTATTTTTAAAAAAATGTGATTTTTAAAATGTGATATAACTCAAACTATTTTTCGTATATTCAATTCCTACTATTAATTAACATTTTCCCTATGTATATTTATATATCTTGTTCAAATTTTCAATCGTTAATAAAATACTTTCTTTCATCCATTCAAGTTCAAATATATTTTTTTAAACTTGTAGTGGATGACAATTGATGTTTTTACAGTTTTTTCAAATATTAATTCATTAATTAAATTAAAAAATGAATAAATGGTAACAAAAACAATAGTCCAACAGCAGATATAGAACGGAAACTCATCCGTTATGTCTCTGTAGCGCAAATTATAGCGCGTTGGACTTTTAATACAAAAGTCGTGGGTACAAATCCCACCTGGGGCGTCTTAATTTCGGTGACTGTGATTTATTTTTAACTCTACTATTTTATTAGAATAATTAAATTTAATGAATGAATAAATAGTAAAACAAACAAAAAATAAATAGTCCAACACCATATATAGAAAGGAAAATGGAAAATTGCAAGGAAAATCGCTTTCTATTTTGTCACTTAATATTGTATGATTCTTTCATATGAATATACATATTTATACTAATTGTAACTATTTAATAAAAAGTAACTGAAATAAGATCTTTCTTTGGTGACCTAAGTAGGAATTGAATTAAAATTTTTTTTATATTACTTGTTTTTACAAAATGTGGTAGAAACAGTTTTCTAGCTCTTGATGGACCCGGACTAGGAGTTTTAAAATACATCAATTAAAAGTGCATTTATTTATATTTTAATTTCTCAGAGAAGAGTAATTTTAACAGTAAACTTCGGCTATTATTTCTTTTACTTGTAACTCTGAAAATAAAGCAAATTCTTCAAAAATCCTATTTCAGTCCCTGTAGAGAAATTCTTAGCTATATATAGGCAAAATATTATAATAGAAGCCTTTTCCGCACAAAAAAAAAAGAATATTTTGAAACTATAATTTTTCAACATTTTTTACAGAAAAATGGCATTTGAAAGAAAAATTATTGTGATAATCTGAAAGATAATCTTATGTATTATAATTCAAATGACACAACGTCAAAAAAAATAATTATAATCACCTACACACTTTTTCAAAATCATGTTTCCGAATGTAATCGGATACCTTAAAATTAAGAAATTTATTGTTTTTCTCTTTTGAAACGGTGAATGAAACCAAAATTAACGAAGCGATTTCTTTTGAAAAACTTGAACTCATCCAGAAACTCGCATTCACTGGCAACAGATTCTCATCCCGATGTAACCTTTTGTTGTACAAATATAAAAGTCTTCATAAGGCTCCAATTTAGAGTACTAACTGTAAAAAAAAGTTGTGAATATAAGCTATCCAACCTCTTCATCACAACTCGATGTAAATAAAGGGCCTTCTTTCATTTACTAAGTACCCATTATCTCATATCTCGCCGAAAGAAGAGAAAGTTTATTTTCGCCAAGTGCCCTATGAATATCAATTGTGTATGATACGAGATCTTATCGAGAGGAAACGCAGTTGGGATCGCTGACTTTCAACGAATGGATGCTTCCCGCTTCCCTACTCTCTTCTCGACGGACATCCTCTCCGCCTCGTCATCACCGCTGCTTCGCTGAATTAACTCACATGACAATCAAGATGAAGAGGAAGTATTATGTTGCGGATTTAGATTTCCTAATTGACGTTCATAACAACACACTGAATGTAGAAAAATATTACATCCCAGATGCACAAGCGAGAGAACGATTCCATTTTTAAATGGTTAGAAATTTCAGTTTTATGACTGCATTAATGTTCTTCTCCGGACTTCCAGAAATAAATTTTTTGACAACTGTTAATGGGAATTATTTTTAATGATAATTTGCATTTAAAGAGCTGTTGATTTGATTTTAATTTGCGTCACATTCTAAAGCAACACGAGGTCTATTGATGACAGACATTTTTTTTTCTTTTTTAAAATTTTATAGAATCATAACTTTGTCAAATCGCAGTCAGTTCCTTATTCCATCTAAACTATACACAGTTCAAGATATTTTAATTTAAAAAATTAATTCTTAAAAAAAAATTTTCAAAAGAATTTCTTACCTTTTTGTTTGTAAATAAAAAACAACAACTTATTTTAAATTAGATATTAAATTTCAGGGTTTTTTCTAGACCAATATTTACAACTCACAATTGTATTTATTACAGTTTGATTTATCATAAGAGCCATTCTGAAAATCCTTCTAAACTTTTTTTTTTATTTATACTGATTTCTTGGAATCATATTTAAAAATAATAATATGATGCTGGAATCCTCTAGAACTAGATGCTGAAAAAATTGTTTAATTCGTACATGAATGACAAAAATCGAATCAGAGCACTCCGCAGAAGTTGAACATTATTTGAATATCTAAATTATTGTTTGGAAAATTTATTAAAACATTTGTTTGAAAATTTCTACTTATACCGAAAAAGATTACCCACCCCATTAAATATGCTAGAATCATTAAAGTATGTTTTATTTAATATTTTAAAAAACAAGAAGTTCCCTTCATTGAATCGGTATTGAAGAATATTTTAATTATGCTATTCTTAAGTTTATATTGCATTTTATACAATAAAAAACACATTGACTGTCAAAATTGTTCTTTTTTAAGAAGATGACATTCTTAAAAATGTTTGCCCATCACAAATCTATACCGACAAGTATGATAAATTCATGCAGCCTTTATATTAAATTTAATCGGTATCATAAAGTTTTCCATCTCTGATCTTTGTGGGCTGAAATTCTACTAATATTTAAATAAAAAGCGAAACGCACGATAGCCAGATTAACGAGATTTCATTCTCTAGAAATGCATATGATTCATTAAAAATATCTCAGTAAGAAATCTGTTTTAAAATACAATATCTATTTATTTACTTTATCTGTGCACTTTGAATGATCAAATTTGGCACTCCAAGCTATTTGCGGTTTTAACTAATTTATTTTACCATCTTCGTGGAAACGCCTTGCTACATATTTTAAAAATAATTTAAATTCTTGTTTCTTTCCTCATAATCGCTTGAAAATATTCAAAATTCCAATAATTCTATTAGAAAGGCGCAAGGCTTGTCAAGGGGGTCAAATGCACCAAATTTAAATAAACAATTTACAAAACAGTAAGTGGGTGTGTATTTCAGTTTAATTTTATTTATATATTTCATTTCACATCAAAGTATTAAAACGACTATAACCAACATGCTATTAGCTTAAAAATATATCACGAAAAATTATTTCTTACATTCTATGCACCGCATAAAATTTATTAATTGTTAATTTCACGTGTTAATTAATTAATTTTTTATGTAATTTAAATATATGAACATTAATCAAACCTTTTAAAGATTCTTAAAAAGCTAAATGTGTGTAAATTACTATACACTGTAAGTTCACGTTTATTTTTCATGCTACTGCTTGTGTTTTTTTTTATAGTCATTTTTTAAACAAATTTAATTATTATAAAAATCTAAAACAGAATAAGCAATTTACAAATTAGAAAATAAAATAAAAAGATTCTACAAACTTAAAAACAGAAATTTTCGTGTGCTAGAAATCGTTATTAATATATTTGACTAAAAAAAAACAAGAACAAAGATTAGTTTTGAAGGTCATTTCACAAAGGGAAATTTTCCTATGCATAAAAACTTTGATGAACTAGAAAAAATTCTATTTCAGAAAATATAATACATTTTACATCCTATTTTATATTAATTTATTTATTAGATAAATAAAAACATTTAATATTTATATTCTTAGTTACTGCCATTGAAGTCGAACATTCTATAAAAGAATCATTCACTTACCTGCACAGTATCTTAAAACAAAGAAACTAATGCTTTGAATTTCAGAGGATTAAACACTTTCTTATTACTAACTTTCCATGTAAATGTCAAGCTAGAATAATGAAATTTATCGTACTTCAGTTTCCTGATTTTATCTTAGAGAAAACTAAGAACGGAAAGAACCAATCACACAAAGCGGATAGAGAGACAAAAAAAAAGATAAACTCTCGAAGGAAATATCTATCAACATCCGATCAGATCAACTGAGAAAACTTGATAAAAATTCAGAAAAAAAAAACAAATTATCAAAATAAATGTTCTTGTGTTACATAAATTTAAAAAAACTTATGTCGTTGCGGTCTGATTCCGTTCTTAATCACGTATATTAGTAAAAACAAATCTTATTACATCCAAATAGAATATGCTAAAATTTTCATGAGGTGTAGCAACAATAGCGAAATTAATAAAAAAAAACTGGTAAAAAAGCTATTAACATTAATTATTATTGTTATATTTGATGTAATTGAATACTTAATTGCTTCGGATGCATAATGAATGTAATGTGAAATTTTGTATCTATCTCATTTCCTGTACAAATCTCACAAAAAAAATTAGCGTAAATATTATTTTTTCTACAATCTGTCCAATGTTATGTATAATAAAAGGCTTTATATAGATTTTTTGAACTAGAGGCCATGTTAGTCATTTTTTTCTCAAAGAAAAACAATAAAAATTAAATATTTTATATTAAGAAATTCAAAAAGTAAAATGAAATTTTGATGTTTATTATTATTAGAAGCTTTTATTTAACTTACAATGTATGTATGTATGTATGTATGTATGTTGTATACGCTCAGGCGACACCAGCGCCACTCTCTGTAAACCCCCAGATGTAAGCGGGAGAAGGAGTAGACTTACTGCTCTCACAGCAGCGCGCGGCTAGTCAGGTTTAACAACCTGTAGATGTCATTAAATATCCTTAAACTTTAACGTCTCTCTTTCATTCAACATACCCCTAGACACCACCCTCTCTGTTACATGAGGGCTCGGCCTCGCAACCTTAATGGTTTTTGAACCCGTGTTAAAATCAAAAGTCGCCCAAAAAAAAACGGCGCTCATCGAAATCGCCCAACACAATGGCGAATGATTGATCATCGAATTCCTCCGACGCCTACTAAGAGCCAATCCTCCGCTCTGAGACCTATACTACCGTCTCCTTCGCCAAAGCCAAACCAAAGCTTAAGACTCAACCAATAAGTCTCTTCGGCATCGTCCAAGTGGTCCAGTGAAACAAAAAGGCCAATTTCCCCGCCTATTCATCGCATCAAGAGTGTAAACTCCATCTGCTTCGTAACTACAGTCATCGCCGTGAAATCGTCAAATCAGGTAGGATCAAACCTTTTTTACTCAGCATGTATCGAAATACTAAGAAAGAAGATCTAATAACCGCCGCTAAAGAACTAGGTGTTACTGTCCCAGAAAATGCTACGCTTGTGAATTTAAAAGCACTTATCGAACAAACTGACACTTTCAAAAACGAACCTGAATTCGTTAAGGATATGCTTAATT